ATCTAACTACTATTCATTGATCAAATTGCTAAGGTCTCCACCAAGTACTCCAGCTCCTCTATCTTGCCTCATTGTCTTCCAAGAAGAAGAAGAAGAAGAAGAGTTTGGATTTGATATCCTGCCTTTCACTCCCTTTAAGGAGTCTCAAAGCGGCTAACATTAATAATAATAATAATAATAATAAATTTTATTTATATCCCGCCCTCCCCAGCCGAAGCCGGGCTCAGGGCAGCTAACAACAATAAAACAGTACAAAAGTACAGCATAAACAACATTCTAAAATCATTCATTATAAAATTAATTAATTCAAGCCACTGGCAACCATTGGGCCAGAGCTCCGCGAAGATTGCCGAGGGAGGGAGTCAGGCTGGGCCCTGACCAAAGGCCTGGTGGAACAGCTCTGTCTTGCAGGCCCTGCGGAAAGATGTCAAGTCCCGCAGGGCCCTGGTCTCTTGTGACAGAGTGTTCCACCAGATCGGAGCCACAGCCGAAAAAGCCCTGGATCTAGTTGAGGCCAGCCTAACTTCTCTGTGGCCTGGGACCTTCAAGATGTTTTTATTTGAAGACCGTAAGTTTCTCTGTGGGGCATACCAGGAGAGGCGGTCCCGTAGGTACGAGGGTCCTAGGCCGTATAGGGCTTTAAAGGTTAAAACCAGCACCTTAAACCTGATCCTGTACTCCACCGGGAGCCAGTGCAGCTGGTATAGCACCGGGTGAATGTGATCTCGCAGCGAAGACCTCGTAAGGAGTCTCGCTGCAGCATTCTGCACCCGCTGGAGTTTCTGGGTCAGTCTCAAGGGCAGCCCCACGTACAGCGAGTTACAATAATCCAGTCTGGAGGTGACCGTCGCGTGGATCGCAGTGGCTAGGTCAGGGCGAGAGAGGTAAGGAGCCAACTGCTTAGCTTGGCGGAGATGGAAAAATGCCGCCTTTGTTATAGCTGCAATGTGCGCCTCCATGGAAAGGGAGGTGTCGAAGATTACACCCAAACTCTTAACGGACGGTGCTGGCACTAATTGCGCCCCCCGCAAGAGATGGGAGTTGCCCCCCCAATCCCATATCGCCCCGTCCCAGCCACAGGACCTCTGTCTTCGAAGGATTTAGCTTCAACCGGCTCCCACGTAACCATCCAGCCACAGCTTCCAAACATCTGGTCAGTGTGTCTGGGGCCGAGTCAGGATGGCCATCCATCAACAGATAGAGTTGGGTGTCATCGGCATACTGATGGCAACCCAGCCCAAAACTCCCAACAAGCTGGGCGAGGGGACGCATAAAGATGTTGAAAAGCATCGGGGAGAGTATCGCACCCTGAGGTACTCCACACACCAAGGAGTGACGCGATGACAATTCCCCCCCAAGCGCCACCCTCTGTCCCCAACCAGAGAGAAACGAGTGCAGCCATTGAAGGACTGTGCCCTGGATCCCCACGTCGGCAAGGCGGTGGTCCAGAAGTTCATGATCGACCATGTCGAAAGAAGCTGACAGATCTAGAAGAATCAGCAGCCCCGACCCGCCTCGATCCAGCTGTCTACGAAGATCATCTGTTAGGGCAACCAGAGCCGTCTCGGTCCCATGACCAGCGCGGAAGCCGGACTGGAATGGATCCAGAGCCGATGTTTCATCCAGAAAACCACCAAGCTGTTCAGCAACCGCTCTCTCAATCACCTTACCCAGGAACGGAAGATTCGAAACCGGGCGGTAATTGGATAGATCTAAAGGATCTAATTATGTTTTCTTTAAGAGCGGGCGCACCACTGCCTCCTTCAGTTCCCTGGGAATGTCCCGTGCCAAGGGACAAATTGATGATATCCCCCAGGAGGGCCCGCATCTCGTCTGGACACGCTCTAATCAGCCAAGACAGGCACGGGTCGAGAGGACAGGTGGTGGGCTTTCCAGCTCGGAGGAGTCTGTCCACATCGGCTGGGGATATCCGGTCGAAGTGGTCCAATACTGGACCCGAGGACAGTCGAGGGGCCTCCAGTTCCTTTATTGTATCCAAATTGGCCGGGAGGTCATGGCGGAGCAACAACACCTTCTCCGCAAAAAAGCTCGCAAATGCCTCACAGCTGTGTGTCAAATTGTTATTTAAATTTGGCTGTCCCTCAAGGGACGTTAAAGACCTGATTATACTAAATAATTGCTCCGGGCGAGAGCTAGCGGATGCAATGGAGGCCGAGAAGTATGACTTCTTAGCAGCCTTCACTGCCATCTCGTAGGTTTTCATAAAAGCCCTATAAGATGTTCTTGAGGCTCCGTCACGGGCACCCCGCCATACTCACTCTAGCCTTCTGAGGTCCCGCTTCATTTTCCGGAGCTCCTCGGTAAACCAGGGAGCCCGGTTTCTGCGGGGTCGCAGAGGGCGCTTAGGTGTGATCTCATCGATGGCTGCCAGGAGCTGGGTATTCCAGCCCTCAACAAGCTCAGTCAATGAGTCGCCAAGGGGAGCAAGGTCCCGCAAGGCTTGGCGGAATCTATCAGGGTCCATCAGCCTCTGCGGGCGAGCCCAAATCGGCTCGCCACCTAAGCAGGGTGGGGGTGGAAAGTCAATCCTGGCTTTCAGAGCGTAGTGATCAGACCATGGCACCTTCATTGAAGGAGACATGATCACATCTATACCTACACCAAAGATCAAATCCAGCGTGTGGCCTGCTTGATGTGTGGGGCCCGAAACAAACTGGGAGAGCCCTAGTGTCGCCATGGAAGACACCAGGTCCAGAGCCTGTGAGGAGGGAGTGGCATCAGCATGGATGTTAAAGTCCCCCAATACCAATAGGTTAGGGAACTCAAAGGCCCAGCCGGCCACCGCCTCCAATAGGCCTGACAGGGTGGCTGCTGGTGCGCTAGGTGGCCGGTACACCAGCCAGACAGCCAAGCTCTCCTCGGAGCCCCACACTAGGCCAACACATTCAATGCCGGGAATCGATGGCGATGGTAGAGCCCTGAAAGGACAATCTTCCCGGATTAATAATGCCACCCCTCCCCCCCGGCCCACAGTCCGCGACTGGTGGAGGATGGAGAAACCTGTCCTTTCCCTTCCTCCCCCTCAATAAACACTCTGTGAGGTGAGTGGGGCTGAGAGACTTCAGAGAAGTGTGACTAGCCCAAGGTCACCCAGCAGCTGCATGTGGAGGAGCGAAGACGCAAACTCGGTTCCCCAGATTACGAGACTACCGCTCTTAACCACTACACCACACTGGCTCTCCAAGGTGAAATGGTGCTCTGCTTCCCCCTCCAATCCTTCAAGGAGTACTTGCCAAAACAACCACTTGAAGGAGTAAGTCATCATCACAGAGATGCACAAGAGCACAGGAAAACTTCTAGGTCAATTTAGCCCACTGTCTCTTGTGATGTTATTATACCGTCTGCCAATTTGTGTTTGTCGGTCCACACCCTTTCACCGTTCAAGCTGCACATCTGGCCTTCCAAATCACACTGGGCGAGGTGGACTATTGCTTTGCCTAAGTCTGGATGTACTTTCATTGCTTGTGGTTTGATTCAAAGAAGAGTATGGCATATGGCATCCCAGAAAGAAGCCAGGAGTTCAGAAGCATGTCAAGGATATATGATGCTGGTCGGCAGAATGAAGCTTGCGTGAACGTAGAATTCCGCAGTGTCTCCTGTTTGACAGCTTGGCTTCACTCAGCTCAAAGGACATGGCAGTTCTTTGGCAAATGAAGTGGAAAACATTGATTGCATGTTAGAAGCTTTAAAATGGTCAGAGTACAATGTTATCCAAAGTATTGTAAAGCAGCACACTTAATGGGATCAGGATGTTAGGATTTCTTGCATAGAGATTGGCTAGAATACTAGGTTTTTGCCAAAGGTTGGTTCCAAAGAACTTGAGATCAGGGTTCACAACCCAATTCCATGTGAAACTGTTGGTGTCCTTTAGTTTCATCATGACACTTTGAAGGATGACACACAGAGATGATAATTCACAACCCAAGGGAGCTTAGACAATGTGAGGAGGGAGAGAAAAGTTGACAAAGGATGCAAATGCACTCAATAGCTAGGAAGTTTTATTTTCAGTTGGACTTGAAGACTATGGCCTTAAGGCTAGGATGGGGAACCCTTGAGGGCAATCGTCTGTGGGCCACCTGTTAATAATGGGTGGAACCCGATGCAGAATTAGACAGACCCTTTGTACTGTAGGGTGCAAGTAAGCCAGAGAATTCAGCACACCCTCCATTCAGGAGAGCAAGAGACATTATCATAGTTGAAAGGATCATTCTGGTCAGGCCAAAGAACTTGAAGAGGCCTGGCATATGTGCCACATATCTTGAGCTGAAACCACCCAAGCTGTCAGGTTTGAGGGAATCCGATCCCCTCGCGGAAGGCTGCCAGCAGTAGATAGACAAGGAAAGTCTTACCAAGGTCTTTTATTCAATATTCACAGAGAGAGGCTTAGAAATGCTGCCTTTTCAAGTAATTGCATTGCTCCGAGTAATCTCCATGCCCCTTCTCTCCTCAATCGTCAACAACACCAATCACCTTATGGCCATTTGCCTCCAAGCCCTTTACTCTCCTACTTTCAGTGCTCGCCAGGTTCTGGGAGAAGGGGGGCCTGGAATGCTTTCTAGTGATAACGTGTCAGCCAGCTGCTCTGGCTCTGCTTCCCCCTCCTCTTCTCCCATTATATCCCAGCTTCTCTCCTCCTCTGCCCCTGAGCTATGACCTCTCACAAACCACTGCTGTAAGTCTATACTGTCTTCCTCTTCTCTGGAAGGCTCATGCTGGGCAGGCGGTCTCCACCATTCCTCCTCTGTCCAGTCCCTGACACAAGCTAGCCTGCTGCCCTCAAGTAAAGTGGACAATGCTGCCTTGACCCTAGCGTTGAAATAAGGTTCAGCTCTCATCCACCCACCCATTCCTACCTCCACATTAACTTAGGAAGCTGCCTTGCACCAAGTCAGACCACTGACCCATCGAGCTCAGTACTGTCTGAACTGGCCATCAGCAGGTCTCCAGGGTTTCAGGAAGGAGTCTCCCTCAGTCCTACCTGAAGATGCCAGGGATTGAACCCAGAGCCTTTTGCAAGCTAGGCAGATGCGCTACCACTGAGCTAGAGCCCTTCCTCTAATTATTTCCACCTTTCCCCTAATTATACCCTCCTTTCCCCTAATTATTTTCCCCCTAACTTACTAATTGGTTCGGAACACTTTTCTTTAGTTCTCTACGCTTCCATATCACTTTGTGGTTTTGTTCAATTTTTATAAGAAAAAGCTCAGGAAAATTCACTAACAATTTTCTCCTAATATAGATGTTTATATACATGTTTTTTCTGAACAAACACATTTCATCAAAGGACCTTCCGCCATAGAAAAGTCTCTGAGCTCAATACTGTGTATTGGGGGAACCTGGGATGATTTTTTGTAAGCCCCTAATTTAGTTCCCTGCGAAAATTATAGCAATCAATCCAAGAGTCATAAATTTGAGCAAAATTATACCAACTTCAACAAACAGACATATGTTGACCAAGTCTGGTGCTTTGCATGGATTGGTTTCAGCAAACAGAGCCTTGCCCCACTGCATTTGTGGAAGCTCAGGTCTATGCCTGTGAATCAAGGCAAAGTGTGTTCTTTTCCCCACCCTTTCCGGGAATTCCCTATTGCTTCCCTTACCATCGCAAGCATTCGGCATGTTTAGATTCCCATACAAAGGGGTGCAAGAGGAAATCCTACTCCTCCCTTCACCCTCCCCAAACATCCTGTATTGGCTGTAACCAAAACTCCTGAACCAATGCTACTATTATCTGGGGTGGGGGCACAGGAAGGAATTAAAGGGGAACCCAGACCATTACCTTTGGTGTGATGTCTTCCCTTATAACTACTATTTTTAGTAGGCTCTGGGATGGATCGAATTGCCATACTAAGGCTTCATAGGTCCTTCACTGAATTTTCATACAGGATCACATTTATATTATTCCAAACTGGAAGTAGTTGCTGGCATGATTGCTTACTGGAAGGGCTACAGAATGGAAATTAATCCAATTACTAGGCATTTCAGAAGTCCCCTATGTTACGCAATCATTTAGCAGTCACATCCTGCCCCTTCCACTCTCCGGGTATCAATATTGTCGTGAGACATAACTGCATCCCTCAAAAATGCAAGCTGCTTAATCCCATATATGTTTACTTGAACGTATTTTTCCATCAAGTTCAATGGAAGTTAATTCTGGGGATGGTGGCAGCAATGGGCATTCTGGGGCAGCTGTCAGGGCACAAGAACCTCAGCAGGGCCCTTTGCCTACCCAGGCCCAGCCCCTTCCCTACACCCTGTGGATAAATGGCTTTGGAAGCCACCAGCCATTTTAAAATTCCCAGAATGCCTCAGTATGTGTCTTCAGGGCATTGTGGGAAACTGAAATAGCAACCCCCGGTGGCAGTGATTTCCGTGGTGCAAGGCTACATTGGGCATCGTGAGGTATTTAAAATGGCAACTCGATGACCACATAGATTTGGGTTTTTTAAAAACGCTTTTAAAAACTTTTTTGAAAATACAAATTAAAAGTAAACAAAACAGCTGTGAAGGGTGATTAACATAGCAGGCTGAAGACAGCTCAACAACTATACATACTGATAATCTTGTTGCCTTCTGAGAGCCCACATCATTGAGACCCCTTCAAACCTAGAACCAACCTTCCCAGTTCCAAGTGTGTACAGGACTGCAGGATTATGCACAATAAAATTCAACAGAAAGCAAAAAGTCAGCAATGGTAAATAATCAGAAAAAAACAAAACTTTAACAACAAAACTTTATTGATTGCAGAAATCTGCTGGCTGTTGTCCTTTCCTTGCACTGGATAGTGGCAGTCTTCTGCGTGGGTCGCAGCATAATGCTTTCGAATCCCTTATGCAATCCGCATAGGATATATGTAATTTACTTGTGTTCCTTGCAAAGTGCCATACACTGTGTTCTTCATGTTGACATTGAACCAGCCTTCCCAATGTCCTTGGCTGCTTTGCATACTTCTCGGAGCCAAACCAGGGGCATTCTTGGCTTCAGCTAAATTTATCTTAGGCCATTCTAGCACAGCCTAGTTTGCAGTTCCCTCTAGCACTGAGTTTTCTTTGTGAAGTGGGAGAAAAACAGGATAAAACAGGATATCTGCATGTGTGCGTGTAGGATTATATGCCTGCAATACATGTGTCATTTCTTTAAGCAGGTATCCAGAAAGCCTTTGCCTAGGAAGAATATGATACTAAAACAAAAAAGAAACACACAAAACACAACTCCACAAATATTTGAATGGATATTCTGACTGAACTGCAAATTTAAATGTATACCAATTGTGTTTCATGACTTCCCTGATTTTGTATGTGAGCTGGAACTGGTTTGTGACCGAAATAATAAATTCATTCACTCATTCAACCGCCGTTAATAATATGTGGATCAACTGTACAGGACTGCTACAGATCTAGGTGCTTCGTTTCAGAGATCTGCAGTCGCACCAAATGAAGGGAAGCATCCAGGTTATCATCCACCCACTCTGTTTCCTTTGAGCTTTAAGCGAAGACCATTTCTATTCCTTGCAATTCTACTCCTGGTCAGCACAGTACAAACCACAACTCACCTTTGCCCACTTTCTATGGCATAATAATCCTGCATGTTGCAACGGATGATGCCTGCAACAAGCTATGTCTTCCACTCATCAAGTAGTGACTTCACCTTTTGAAGGCTAGACCTCTATGACAAACGAAGCTGAGCCCTTGAAGGATTCAGAACAGATAAAAGGAAGTAGTTCTCCATGCATCACAAAATCAGACTATGGAACTTGCTCCTGTGAGAGAAGGTGTCGGCCACCAACTTGGATGGCTATAAAAGAGGATTGGACAAATCCATGGCTGAGAAGGCCATCAATGGCTACAAGCCATCCTGGCTATATTCTGCATCCACAGTCAGAGGCTGTAATGCTTTTGAATGCCGGTTGCTGGAAACCACAGAAAGGGCGAGTGTTCTTGTGCTTGAGTCCAGTTCGTGGGTTTCCCACAGGCATCTGGTTGCATCATAGAACTTATTTTTGTAAGATACTCTTTTCGGCTAAAAGATCAGTTATAAATGTTGTTGGAAATATATAATTAAATGCATTTGTGACACAGGGGAAAGGGGCAAGCTGTTTCTGCTGAATGCATGAGGTCTTTCTCAGAGCAAGGATAAACATCGCTCGCTGTGTTCAACCAACGTTTGGATCTCTCATCACTGAATTTATTTATTTTTTAAATGCAAGCTTTCCCTGTCTTCATAATGGGTGCTACCATCCCCATGAAATCTAACAGAGAGTGGTTGACTAACAAGTTTCTCAGACTTCTCTTTTTCCTCTGGAGAGATGCTTTCGTGCCATATGTGGATAGTTAAACCGAGCAAAACACTGGAAAGTCGTCCACAACCACACATAGTTCAGACGGCATAAATCAAACGTGGCTCAGAGGCTCAGATTCCTCGGCACATTTATCCCCTGATCTTTCCAGAGCATTGAGGGACTTTATTTGCCTAACATCAGTTTAGCAATGAAGCCAAGAGCTTGAGCTAAGCAGGGCCAGATTTAGGTTTGATGAGGCCCTAAGCTACTGAAGGTAATGGGGCCCTTTGTATGTCCAGCTGTCCTTTGTCAACAACAAATTGTCACTGTTTTTGTGTGTTGAATTTATGCTATATGGTAATTTATGGACCTAATAGGTATCTAAAGCCATTTGCACATGTTGTCCATGTAGAATGTAGGCACCCTATATATAGAAATGAGCAAACCAGTGATATTTGAGGACACGGGTTAGCAGGCGGGGCCCATTACTTACATCATAGGAGCCTACACCACACACAACACTGTTGCTGTATGTAGGTTTTATTTTATTTGTTGTTTATCTTATATTTTGGAAATGTACATCCAGTTTTTTCCCCTTTAATTTTTTTGGGGGTCCCCAAGAGAGTGGGGCCCAAAGCTATAGCTTGTTTAGCTCATACGTAAATCTGGCACTGGAGCTAAGTATATATATCTGTTTGAGGAAGGGCCCAGAAGTCGGATACATCCTTTGCATTCCAACAGTTCTAGGTTCAATCCCTAGCATCTGGGGGAGATGTCTAGCTGTCACCATGGAGAGCCTCTTGTCAGTCAGTGTAGACCAGGGGTAGGCAGCCTAAGGCCCGTGGGCCAGATGCGGACCAAACGCCTTCTCAATCTGGCCTACGGATGGTCTGGGAATCAGTGTGTTTTTACATAAGTAGAATATGTCCTTTTATTTAAAATGCATCTCTGGGTTATTTGTGGGGCATAGGAATTCGTTCATTCTCCCCCCCCAAAAAAATATAGTCCTGCCCACTACATGGTCTGAGGGACGGTGGACCGGCCCATGGCTGAAAAAGGTAGCTGACCCGTGGTGTAGACAGTACTGAGCTCAATGAACCAATGGTTTGACATGGGCTGGATCTACACTGACCTGTTTAATATCATCATCATCATCATCATTAAATTTATATACCGCCCTGTACCTGGAGATCTCAGGGCAGTTCACAGAAAACATCAACATAAAAACCACAATATATATAATAAAATTAAAAACAACAACCCAATACAACATGCCCCCCCCCCCGAGGAGCCACGTTTTAAAAAGGGCATAGGATGTCAATCAGATCAACCAAAAACCTGATTAAAAAGGAACGTTTTTGCCTGGCACCAGGCAAACTTTCCTGGGGAGATAAGTAATCATACAACCTTTAGAAGACATGTGAAGGCAGCCCTGTCTAGGGAAGTTTTAAATGTTTAATGCTTTATTATGTTTTTATATATGTTGGAAGCCACCCAGAGTGACTGGGGCAATAAATAATAAAATTGTTGTTGTTTTTGCTGTGGAATAGGACATCCCTATTTTCATCAGAGAAATGTTGGGGGGGGGGGTGTGTTATAACCATACTAAGAAAGGTGGCACGCAAACATTGATTATTCTGATGAATTTTCATGAGGATTTCAAACAATCAAAATTGCAAACTGATGTGGAGAATTGAATGTTCAAAAAATGAGAAACTCAGAGAAACAGAAACTGATAGTCTTGCCCATCCATGGCTCTCCTTTCCTTCTTAACT